AGGTGAGTCCTATTCAGATTATAAATCAACTTATATTGTAGACAATCTAAGTAGGAGTCAAGTTAATTTAGCATTCTTTCTCAGAGCAAATAGATATGTAATGCAAGGGAAAACCAAGTTGACTCACTGCATTGCTCGAGAGACACCTTGCATAAGGTTCTAAAGCAAAAATCTAATCTGTCAACAATAGCCAAGGGAAGCTAAAATCCTCCAGGGCTTCCTGCTTAGTTTGCACCAATCACTTAGCTAGAGCATCAGTGGTTTTTTTCTTTGTTTGTTTTTGTATAACCAGGAACCAAAGGTGACATAAATAGGCCTTCCTAATTCAAATTAAATGGGATTTTCCTTCTTTAGAAAATATCTCAACTTCTAAGACCTGACAGTCATGCTACTATTTCACTCTTAAGGTTTCAAGAAAAGAGAAAAATTATCTTACTCTTTTAATAAGAAGAAGTTTCCTGAGAGAATTCTTCCTCTCACCACATCATTGAACCCTTCTCGCCTGGTTGCAGCATACATAGCTTCAGTAGACACATCAATGTTACATCTGTGACCTGAAAACAAACAAACAAAGAGATAAACATTACTTGAAAAGAAAGTAAACTTTTGGCTAACAATCAGGTCTAGATTCACGTTTGTGACCAGTACTAGAATCTTGGCAGAGTGCCCTTAATAGTGCTTCTTCTCCTTCATTTGCCTTGTGTCACACTACCTTGTCAGGAATCAAGGGAAGAGAAGAAAATAACCAAGAAAGAAAATTCATTTGTTCACTCCCTCAACCATTCATTCAAACATTTATTAAGCTTCTACCATGTGCCAGGCAGGGCCCTGGTGGCACGGTGGTTAAGCATTTGGCTGCTAACAAAAAGGCAGTTCGAATCCACCAGCCGTTCCTTGGAAACCTTACAGGGCAGTTCTACTCTGTCCTATAGGGTCGCTATGAGTCAGAATCAACTTGATGGCAACGGGTTACGTGCCAGGCATTACATTAGAAGGTTGATGTATACAAAGATAAAACACTATCCCTTCAAGAAATTTATAGTCCAGAATGGTGAATTGAACATACACATTTATGATGAATAGCGTAAGTACAAATGCTAAACCGACAAAGGTAAAATGATTCCCTGATTTATTTTTCTTGATCATTAACATTATACCAGACAATAATTTTCTTGCCACTAACAACTGAACCTTTCGAATGTTTGCGGTA